CAGCTCCCATTTCCCTCCAAGGACAGAGGGACCGTCCAAAACCAATAATATAATGGTTTAATAACATATAAACATACTACTTAGTTTAAAAACGTTATTGTCATGGTGATATTTGCCATACCACCATTTTCCCCATCAAGGGAACACTACGTTGGTAAAATTTGTTCAGAACAAAAAATTCACAGGCCTTGAGAAAAAGATTGACCAGAAATTTGTATTACTAAGGTACGAAATACATAAGCTAACAATGTCTGGACCTGTCTTATATTAGAGATTTCTTTTCTCTCTTGTTCTCTGCACAAAGTGCTCACATGCAACAAATCACATTACTTCTTAGATAATGATTTCTGCCTGATTTATCTGTGTGTAAATATTTTATATTGGGACCGTGCAAGTTCGGAACAGCGACACCTGGTGTCGAAAATCAGCAAAATTTACTGCACTTTCATGTTAGATCGAGGATACCGGATAACTGTCAAGGACGTAGCCCCAAAAAAGAATAACAAGAAAAACTAAGATTGAGGTTATGTCGGTATGTTTTTAAAAGGTAAACGTTGTATATAGTGTAAATACAAATAAATATATTATTAAATTACAGCATTACTGTTAATATGGATGCAATAATAAAAACTGGATTTGAGAAGTAAATCACCAAATAACTTTTCAACCAAGCAGTGAGTCAAAGGGAAAAGCTTTAGTAGTGGCAAATGTCAAAAAAGAATGGAAGATTTAAGAAAAATAAATTACCATAAATAATGCTAATGCATAAATTAGCAGGTTAAGCCCATGATATCATCATATTGGTTTGAACAATTAATTCTTTCCCTGTAAACTTTTGGACAGCGAATATAATATATCTTAATGCATCATCAGAAAAAACTTGAACTTGATGCATTTTTGTAAACTTCAAAAAATAAAATTTAACCATTAAACTTGATTTTTGGGTTAAAATGAAAACTTTAAGTGAGTGTTATGAAACTAAAATTTACACTTAAAAGTGAAATTTTATTTATTATTTATTTCAAACTGACTTTAAAATCGGGCGCAAGAATAATGCATAATTTAGGTTATGTTACTTATGCTTTTTTATGATATAAATCCACTTTTTTCTTTGTAGTAATTTGTGCTAAGTTGGAAACGAATAAACCTTAAATTGATAATTTTTGTTGTATTTTTACAATTTATAACACAGCATTTCCTAAATCCCATTTTCTTCAGTGACAGAAGGTGTAAATAAACAAACGAGTATGAAATATGACAATTGACAATATGAATTTATGAAATCTATGAAATGTGCAGTATGAAAATGCAAAATTTCTCCGCTACTCGCGCACGATCGTTTCTCGTATCAGATCCAAGTACTCTCGTATCAGATCCAAGTACCTGCACGTCGCCAATAGGTAATAACTAAACGAGCATTCTTGGAAATGTGGCAAATGCTTTGAAAATAGGCTTCTTTACATTGAAAGAATGATATTAGCAATTCTAAATATAAATTATCCCTTAATTTTACAAGTGTTTGTCAAAATCTCGAAATGTCTTAATTTTTTCAAAAATATCGAATGCTCTTAAGGACTCATCACTTTGGTTTGAGTACACCACAAAAAATTAGTAGTATTCATAAAGCTGAGCTCTGTAGGATTTCAGCTACCAAGGTCAAAAGCATCGAAGAGGGAAAATATATAAATTTCCAACAAAATGCTCGGAGTCCTATAATATATTTATAGTATTTGATACAAAAGTAAGTAGGCAATTTTTTAGCTTTCGTACATTTTAGAACTGCTGAGGGTCACTTCAATATTTGACGCCGCAAGGACATCTTATAGAGATGAGCTCAAAAAATGAGTATAAAAGAAAAAAATGAATATAGGCTTAATATTAATTGTAATATTACCACGGTAAAAAAAACTTAAAAATAACAAAAAATGTGAAATAAAGGAATACATGTATTTTATACATGTAACTGCCTTAAAAAAGTTTTTTTAGTAAATGTAATATTTTTTAAATAGCATTACCTTTAACAAAAATGAACTATCAAACGAAAAAAAATTTTCTTAAAAATAATGTTTAGTTCGCTAAAACGCTAATCTTGCAACCTAATAAACAAAATTATTTGGAAGACCGATTCTCAGATAAAACAAAATTAAAACTTAATAAAATTCGGCGTAGGTTTACCAATTAACTTGGCGTTTAAAATTAAACCAAATAAATAAATTCTTAAAAATAAATATATCCAGTCATTGCACGAAATTTCCAAATAAAAACATCGAATTAAAACAAAAATAAATCACAGTTTAAGGACAAAACGGTTTAGAGCAGAAAGCTTTTGAAAATGTTAAACGATTGCAGCATTCTACTCTAAATACGCTACAAGATTTCTCAGAAAATTTGACTTAAAAATTGAAAATTATGTACATAAAACTGTAAGTGACACAATTTGATATAAATACAATACAATGATAAATATATTCAGTCATTAGCAATATTATTGATAAAATGTCTATTTCCTATAGAAATCCAAATTTTCATGTTCTACAGCACATTCCAAAAAAAAAATTCACATATTAGAAGTACAGGTATATTTAAGTGCATAAAACCTTAGAGGTTTTGCACCTTATGCAGGGTTTAGTATTACAATAATTTTACACAAATGTGCAATTTAATTGTACTAGTGGAATGACGATTCATTGGATTTGATTAAGCAAGTTGGACCAGCCAAGACAAGGGAAACAGGACGTATCTAATAAAGAAGCCGACTAAAAAACGTCAGTCGTTTTAGTACGTCAGTTGCTTTCCTAAATGATCGTATCTTAACCGATAAATGGGCGGTGAGATTAGCAGAAAAAAACTCACTATATATAAACTGGTACAAAATTACAAGTAATTTATTGACAAACTAACACGAGAAAATAAAATCTAGTCTGGTTCTTGTGTCGTGGTTGAGGAAGTGCAAGAAAATAAACCAGTAGACTCGTTGGCACAACAAGGCTTGAGAAAATTTTTTGAAGATCCAGAACCATGCTGCTCTCTCACACAAGATGCCGTTTAAAAACAAAGTTGGCTGGCAGGAAGTCATGGCAATTAATCAATAAACATTCAGAGAGACATTTGTCTAGTTTAATAGATCTTAGCGAAACGGAAAACCTCACAGAGCTATTGACTGGACATTATCAACTGATGAAACGCCTCTAAAACCTAAATAAGATTAATGAACTACGGTGCAGGAAATGTAAAACAGAGAAAATAATTGATATACGTGTCCTTTGTGAATGTGAGAATGACATAAATTGTATATAACCTCGCAAAACAAATTTTAAATTGGTAGATAAAATATTAAACTTTATGTAAGAAAGTTGGCTTTAATCAAGAGAACATCATTCTAGGTGGCGCCGGCTAAAAGAATAGAGTTTGGTAGAAAGATCTCATGATCACATATTGAGAGGTATTATATCACCGTAATAGAGAAAGAAACGATTGATTGTTTTTAAATGTCATAGCAGATAATCAGGTAACCAAAGATTCATATGATGTTCTTTAACCTTCAACTGGTATGATGGGTCAATATTGACTCGACCAAATTAGTTTTATTATTTAACCAATATTGCAAACGGCGCACGACACTGGCCCATTATGAATTCTCCTATTTTGTACGGTACTCTCAGTTGACCTCTGACTATTGTGCGTGCGGGTGACTGTTTTCCGAAAACACAAGAATTCGGGCCAGATTTGACCCAGTATACATTTAGTGACACTATTTTTGTTTGACTGTTTTACATAATAAACCGCCGCAACAGACCTCTTACAAGCAAGAACTTTAAGAGGCTTTAAACGCTTATATTAGTGACTATTCGTGTGATGAGAGCGAGTTATGCGATCATGACAATGATTCAATGTTAGAGTAATCAGAAAAGGAGCATTGTTCAAAAACAATCCGATACGGTTAAAAAGATGAAAAGGATGAATTAGGGGTAGCAGGGCAGTATTTTTTTTTAAGAATAAATACAAGTGGTCAAAAATACCTATAGTCTGCGAAAAAACTCGAAAAGAAAACACAATCAGAACACGCATATCTGCGGTGATAGGTGATGCATACAGAAATAAACCAGCCGAACCAGTACAATCATGGAATTTAATATTTAACGATGATATGCTAGATATTATAATAGAACATACAAATGAAAGAATTACTGAATTGACAAGGTCTTACGCTGATAGGGCCCTAAATTGTCAATTTACAAACCATGTAAAAAAAGCTGAAATGAAAGCCTTAATTGGTCTCCTTTTACTGTCTGGTGCTTTTAAATTAAATAATGAAGATGTAAGTTCGTTATGGATGACAGATCTAACAGGTCGCGGCCATTTTTCGTGCCACTATGAGACTAAAACGTTTTTCTTTCTTATGCGTTGCGTTGCGCTTTGATAATAGTGTCTCAAGAAATGAACGAATCCAGAATGGCGATAAACTTGCCGCTATTTCAGAAATATTTAAACTTATGATTGCCAATTGTCAATCAAATTATGCTTGTGGTCAGTTGATGACTATCGATGAAATGCTGGTGGGGTTTAGGGAAAGATTACGATATAAAATGTATATTCCGATAAAATGTGTGTCTGTGTGACACATTGTTTGTTGAATGCGTTTATATATGTCCCAATCCGAAAAAATTTTCCATTCCCACACTTTACGTTTTACAACTTGTACAGCCTATTGTAAACAGTAATCGAAATATCACGGCTGATAACTGGTTTTCATCAGTTAAATTGGCAAATGAATTAAAAAAATGTGGACTAACGTATACAGGAACATTGCAAAAAACAGAAAAGTACTTCCCCCTGAATTTTTGGCTAATAAAAGCCCCGCTTTGTCAACAATTTTTGGATTTACAACCGATCTAACACTCGTATCCTATGTGCCTAAAAAGCGTAAAGCTGTCATAATGCTGTATTCACTACACCATGCAGGTCACGTAGCCCGATATAATGACAACAGGTGGACATGGAGAATTCTAGAATGGAGACCAATGACGACAACAAAAAACATGGGTAGATGACATAAGAGCAGTGGCAGGCAAACAATGGATTAGATTGACGCAAGATAGAGAAACATGGAAGCAATTGGGAGAGACCTACATTCAGGAGTGGATGGAAAATGGTTGACAAAGAAGAAGAAGACCAGGGCAAGGGCGAAAACGTTGCACTAATCAAATTGATGATCGTTTTTTTGACGTGCTCTAAGAGATAGGAGAGTCACCAGCAATTTGCTAAAAAATGAATTAGCAGATGTTCGAAATGTCGCGATATCGTCTCGAACAGTTAGACGACGTTTACATGAAGCAGAATTGAGAACCAGAAAACCGGTCAAAAAACTCTTGCTTACCAGAGAACACAGGGTTCAGAGATTGAATTGTACAAGATTGCATCAAAATTGGACCATCGATGATTGGAAACGAGTTCTTTTCTCCGATGAGACTAGAGTAAGCCTAAAAGCTCCAGATGGTCGTAAGCGTGTCTGGCGAAGGCGAGGAGAAAGGTTTGCCAGCTGCCATATCTCTCCTAAAGTACCTTTTGGTGGTGGCTCTAAAATATTTTGGGGAGGAATTTGTTTTGAAACTCGTACGGAGTTGATCCCCATACGTACGAGGTCTATGAATGCCCATTAATACGTAGACAACATTATTGTCGTACATGTAATGCCTTTTGCTCCGTTTTTTGGAACTAATGTTTTATTCATGCAAGACAACGCTCGTTCTCATGTGCCTCGACAGGTTATTGGCTACCTAAATGATGTTGATATTTCGTTATTAGAGTGGCCACCTAACAGTCCGGACATGAATGCTATAGAGCATCTATGGGACTATCTCAAAAAAAGATTCGAAGTAGTAAACCCCCTATTGCCAATCACACACAACTCATTTAGGCCGTTATTCAAGAATGGGAGAATATTCCGCAAGCTTTTGTTGAACATTTGCATTTGATATCAAGCATGCCTCGATGCATAAATACAGTCATAAGAAGTAGAGGAGGCCCTTCCCGGTATTAGTATTGACCCACATGCATTTTATTGCGTTACTTTAACGATTTTTTTCTTTTTTCAATTTGGAGTTATGTTAGCTTAGTTACGCATTTCCGGCAAAAACAAATTTTTAAAGAAACAAAAAGTAAGGTCATGATAAAGTCATGTTTGACTTATTTGTAGGTGTTTATTATTATTTCAATGTAATTTTATTTTGTGTTCATATTGTAAATATTTAGATTAATTAAAGTGATGCATTAATTTTGTCCAGGAGTTTATATATAATACTCTTTGAAATCGGCAAACTAATATCAAATTGTGTTACTCCAGCAAACAATTCAAAATATACTAATATTATAAACTTCCAAAATTGTTTGGAAATATTAGCCGTTGTAAAAAATGAAATATTTTTCGATTTTTTAAATACCTTAATAATATTTGGAAGACTACTAACATGATTTTAGTACTCCTAATTAACACAAACGTAAATTAGTTCATAACTAATTTAAAAACCAACAACAAACCGAATTAAAACAAAAAAATCAAATCCGAATTTCTTATTACGTTAACAAAGAAATAAATTTCAAACGTAATATTTTTGCAACATATCTATATAAAAAATATATAAATTTTTAATTTAATAAGTACGGAAGCCTTGAATTAGAAGACATTGTTAAAGAAATATTCAATTTTTAGCCAAACTTTCACATTATCCCGTGTTTATAATCGTTTCATTAAAAACAATAATAGATTTTTCGATTAGGCAAGATATGGAAATAAACGTAAAAATAAAACAAATCGCGTTTGCATTAAAAACAAATTAATTTTAAATTATTAATTCAATGAAACAATTATAAACTTTTTGTTAGACGAAAACAGTCTCATACTGTTCCGCTTTCATCAATTGTTACACCGTTGCAAATGATTACTTCGTTTCCATGTCGATGTTGTTCAATACCCCTCCAAATTCGAAGAGAGGTTGAACCTTTTAATCCTACTTTTTCCAGATCCTCTCGACTTATGTGATATAATACCTAAAAGATAAAAAAAAAATGGTTTAGGTGGTGACGGTTTAGTAATAAACTTAATTAGAGCAAGCCTTACTACTTTTTGCTTGTCACTTACTTTCACATAAATAAATACATGTCATAAATAAATACTTGTCATAAATAAATACATAACCTAACTTGTATGTACGATTATCAGATTTCTTTAACTCACAAGCTTAAAGAAAATAAAACGGTCTAAACATGTTTAAAGCCATTTTGTTTACTTTTGTAACATATATAGAAGAGTTACTTATTTGTTAATAACGTAATAAAATTCATAAACAATATCGTTTAAGGTTGATCAGCACCCCCCAAAAGACAAACTACACATTCAAAAAATAAAAAAAAATTGAGAAGGTATAAGTGACAACTAAAGTAAATTGATAAATTATGAGCAAACTTCATGTTTTCGTTTTAGAAAAAACTCTAAAAACTACTGTTTTCCAAGTATAAAGCGGGAAAACCAGACATACAATTTTGTTAATTTTTTTTACAGCATAAAGATATAACTCTAAGAAATACTTTGAAAATTTTTGAATGTACAGTTTTGTCACAATGGGAAAAAACTAATATGTTCCGGCTTATAATAAAGCTACCGGTAAGAAACTGGAAAATATTTAAATAACAATATATATAAAACTGTAAAAATGGCAAACATTTACAATGTCTGTTGTTTGTTTGTTTGCTTGTTGAAATGTTTTCCACTTCAAAATTCATATGCTTTCTGATCCCTTTATCTTAGAAATAAAATATATATATATAAGAAAAAAGTTATAAAAGTTTACCTCTTCAAGCGTGTAGCCTTCAGAGACGAAGATTCTTTTTGCAGATTCATGAATTCCTAAACCTTCTAACCAATTGGCGAGACGTTGGTCTTCTTCAACTATTTCCTGGAGATCATTATTGTTATTATTACGTGATTGACAGCAACACCTGTGACAACATAACTGGCGAAGGGCTATTTCTTGACGGTGGGTTTCTATCAACTGCTTCAACTAAAAGTAGAAATTTTTGTGTAATAAAGAAATACACAATATGGTGCAAATAAAAGTAAAACATCATGTCGTTTATCATTAAATCTAGGAGAACATTCTGATAATTCATGATTGTTAATTAAAAACGCTTGTTGTCAGATTTTCATTCCATTTTTATATTTATATTTTTTACTGTACAGCTTTAGGTAAGATTTGCTTTTTGTTAATATAATCATTTATTTGCCCTTGCAAAAATTTCTCAGTGTTCAGGTTTGCATTTATGATAGTACCTACAACTGAGACAGAGCTAGTCGAAACCCCAACAATAAAATTGTCATCTCAAGAGTCGTTTTACAGTTATACGCCTGAGGTGTCATTTTGTTGTTAAACAATTAACACCCAATAATATAGGTAGTATAACAAAGCCAACTAAGCCTTGTAAGATATATCTTGACCCCGTGAAAAACCCTCAAACGCGCGAACACATATCACAGCAAATAAATAGTAAAATACACAGAATATCAAATATACCAAACGAAAACAGAACCATTAACGAATGCTGGTATGCCATTCAAAACTCGATTTTAGAGAACGTACAAGAGTCTTTGAAAACACCTACCATGTTGGCAAAAAATGAGTGGATGACACAAGAAATTCTAGATCTGATGGAAGTTCGACGGCAACACAAAAATAGAAATATTATCGAATATCGTGAAATTAACAAACGCATAAAAAGAAAAATTAAGCAAGCCAAAGAATCCTGGCTTGAGAATTTATGTAAAGAAATAGAAGACCTCCAAAAAAAGCATGACAGCTTCAACCTGCATAAGAAACTTAAATATACTGCCGGAATTAGAAAACAGAAAAATGCTCACATACTTAAAACCTTTTTGACGATGCTTCTAGAGAAAATGCTCCAAATACTGCCTGTGACAACCAGTTGGACAGAGGTCCCAATATACTGAATTCGGAAGTCGAAAAGGCAATACAGCAAGTCAAAAACAATAAAGCACCTGGACCAGATCAAATCCCTGCCAAACTACTTAAACTTTTGGATAAGGAAAGCATTGCCTGCTTAACCACTTTCTTCAACAAAATTTACAACGAAGGAAAAATAACAGATGATTGGTTAGAGTCACTGTTTATTACATTACCAAAGAAAAGCAGGCCCACCAAATGCAGCGATTTTAGACTAATCAGTTTGATGAGTCACACACTGAAGATACTCTTACGAATTATACAAAACCGAGTATTCCTTCTATGCGAAAGTAAGATGGGTGATAAGCAATTTGGATTTAGAAACGGTCTAGGAACTAGAGAGGCACTATTCTGGATGCGTGTTCTATTACAAAAAAGTTGTGAATTCCGAAAGAATGTTTATGTTTGTTTCATCGACTTCGAGAAGGCGTTCGACAGAGTCCAACACAATACACTTTTCGACTGCCTACGGGCAGCAGGACTTGACCACTATGATATAAGACTGCTGAAATACTTATATTACAATCAAGTAGCCTCTATCCAAACTGGAGACAGTCCCACTGAAAAAATACCCATCAAACGTGGAGTACGGCAGGGTTGTGTTTTGTCACCCACTCTTTTTAATCTGTACTCTGAAGAAATCTTTAGGGAGCCTTTGGATGACAGACAAGAGGGAGTACGACTAGGTGGAGAAGTAATCAACAATATTAGATACGCTGACGATACAGCCATTCTTGCAGAAAGTTTACAAGATCTCCAAACATTACTAAATCTAGTCAGTGAAGCAAGTTATCGGAGAGGCCTAAAAATCAACATTTCAAAGACAAAGTGGATGGCAGTTGGAAAGATCCATATAGATCAAGGTCTGCTTTCTCTTAATGGAGAAGAGATAGAAAGGGTAAATCATTTCAAATACCTTGGCAGCTGGTTAAATGTAAATTGTGACTTTGATGAAGAGATAATATCCAGGATCGAAATATCACGTAAGGCTTTTATGACCTGGAAACCAGTTTTATGCAACAGAAACCTGTCAATGAATATTCGTAAGAAGGTCTTGAAATGTTATGTGTGGTCGATCCTATTGTATGGTTGTGAGACATGGACGTTAAAAACCACAATGCTAAACAAGTTAGAAGCATTCAAAATGTGGTGCTATAGACGAATCCTAAAGATATCGTGGGTTTCGCACACTTCCAATGAAGATGTTCTTCAAATGATCAATTCAGAACGTCTGCTCATAAACACCATAAAGAGGAGAAAAAACAGAATACTTCGGCCATATAATTAGAGGACCTAAATACCATTTACTTCGCCTTATAATACAAGGAAAAGTGGAAGGAAAGAGATGGATTGGTCGAAAGAAACTTTCATGGTTGCGTAATATTAGACAATGGTATGGTTTCACAGTAGAAAAATTATTTCGCGCAGCAGCCGACAGAGAAAGGTTTCAGGAAATTGTAAGCGTATTCAGACGGCCAACGTCTGAATACGGACACGGCACCCAAAGAAGAAGAATATAGGTAGTAACTCTATTATTATACATTGATTGTTATATTGATACAAGCTTGGATCTTGGATCGCCCAAAATTTAGATCCGTCCTTCGAAATCAGATGATGAATTGCATGGGAATGAACGAGTAGATTTGTTGGCAAAACAAAGCTCGAGAGAAACATTTTAGACCCAGAACCATTCCGTGGCATCACCAAAGATGCTACTAGAAAATAATCAAGAGTGTTGATAAAAAATTCTCGGACAATTTTATGAAGCTTATTAAGTAAATACCTGCACCATAAATAGGTAAGGTGAATGAACAAAGGTGCAAAAAATGCGAAATGGAAGAAGAGACTACCATACACATCCTATGCCATTGCAATGTACTTGTTGATCTTCTTCTTGTAGTGCCTATCCGTTTCGGATGTTGGCGACCATCATGGCAATCTGCATTTTGCACACTACTTAGTGATAAGAGGTCGAAATTCACCGGTCAACTGAGGATTGAACCAGAAGAGATCCCAAAACTGCCAATGAGGAAACTGTTGACCTTTGTTGAGGCCACAGGAATTTCGAGTTTATTGAAACAAAAAACAGTATGGTACAAAGTGTCATGAGATAAACATATCTCGTCTGAATAAAGAAGAAGAAGAATAGACTATTAAAATAACATTTTTGTATGTTTTACGAAAACCAACTTACCAGTCCCTGATATTGCCTCTGACATTCAAGCAGGTCCTGCCACAATCTCGAATTTTCATTTCTCAATTGTAAATTAGAATCCCTTACATCATACCCCTCATTTGTTTTACTGCTTTTACTCGAATTAACTGTACTTGGAGAACTATGATTGGCGATGTGTTCACTTAACTCGGGCGTTAAAACAGTAATGGCGGCTTGGATACATGAACGCACCAGATTGTCCAATGCGAACATCCAATGTGGCTTAATTGGATGAAGACGAAGAACTTCGTTCACGGATTCCTAAAATGAATAGAAACATTACTAGCAAAATAAAAACTGTAGAATTTATGAGAATTAAAGAGCGCAACAAACAGGTATAACTTAGGGTAGCCTCTTAAAATGTGTTTTTTTATAGAAGGTAAAAAGATTTTTATTTGCTAGTTGGAGATGATTATGTTATCAATTCTAGAAATGATCTTACGCCCTATTTTTCACTTTTTACTACAAAAGCTACAGACCTACACCTTTCTATTGTTTCTTTTCAAAAATTTCATGTTATAATTGCTTTTATTGTGATTCTTCAATATATACTGTCGTTAGATACTTATCAGCATTTTTGAAATCTTTAACCAATGATTTCTTTGATTTAATCCACCCACAAGGTTGTAGATTTCACTGATTTGCCATTGCTTATAATAGATTCAAGATAATTACATATTTGAACCATCTTAAAACCAACAATATTTTTGATGCCACCTTTTTTCAGTTTAAATTTTAAGTAACTTGGTTGGATATTTTGTTTCTCATCAAATGCATCATATTGGTGGGTAGACTGCCAAAGATCACCATTACCAATTAAAAAAAAATACAATGGAGTAGACAACTTCTTATGTATAATCGTATATATTAATTTTTTTTTACTTTTTTTAATAAAAAAAAAATAAAAAATATTTTTTTTAAATATATTTATACATTATGCTTATACATTAGAAGTTGTTTACTTCATTGTAAGTTTTTTAAACTTTGGTATACAGTCAACCAGTGAGATTTTCCCTTTTGTTAATTACCAAATTAGTTTACAAACTAAATCAGACAGAAAAGTATCAAAAACAAATTAAGCTAGCATTAGAAAATTCAACATCAATAGAAAGTCCAACAGAACAGAAATACCTCACTGTCAACAACACACAGCCTCCTAAATTATACTCTTTTATTAAACTACACAAACCGGATCACCCAATAAGACCCGTAGTTTCTTTTTATACAGCTCCGTCATATAAACTTTCAAAAAAACTGTTAGAGATTATTTTAGAACACACTAAATGTTCACCTAAATTTACCATAAAAAATACAATAGAACTAGTTCATAAAATACAACATTTTCAATTACCTAACAACTCCAGATTAATTTCATATGACGTAAAAAATTTTTTTCCTAGTATTCTTCTTACAGAAACTTTTATTCTAATAAAAAACCTTTTAGACCAAAATAGTACAAATCCAATCATAACAGTGCAGGACTTATAATGGGCAATTCTCTAAGCCCATTGCTATCAGATATTTTTATGGATCATCTAGGGACAAAGATTTCAAAACATCCCATACTCAAACAGTGTTTCTATTGGAGGAGATACGTAGACGACGTACTGGTATGTTTCACCGGAACTAACAGGCAACTCGACAAACTTATATCGTATATTAATGCACTTCATATTGAATTTACAATAGAAACAGAACAAAATCAAACAATCCATAAATTTTTTAAATTTGAAAATTATCAGACTTAAAATCGAACATGACTTCTCCATATTTCATAAACCTACCCATACGGACATTAGGGTGTCCCGAAAAATCGCTTTTTGTTTTTGTTTAATACAAGACCTCTTGAAATTGGGGTAATTGCTCGTAAATTATCACAATAATTTTAAAAAAATTATAACAATATATCTTTAGGGTTTTACCAAACTTTAAAGTTTTGAAAAATTGTCATTTTTATGGTAATATTTCACTATACTTAATTTCGCATCCTGAACTAAATATAAAACATTATTTAATGCAAGACCTCTTAAAATTTATGTAATTGCCAATAGATTATCACAGTATTTTTAAAAATAAAATAAAAATATATCTTAAGGGTTCTACAGATATTCAAAATTTGGAAAAATTGTCATTTTTGTGATAATATTTTTTCGGCTCCTGAACTAAAATAAATTGAGATTGTACTGTACTATTGTATATAATGTATAATACTGCGTCGTATTATACGTTACGTTAAAGTTTAGTTAGAGAATTCTGTGAACTTTGATTACGTCAGATCTGCTTTGATGGTAGGAGAAAGACAAGTAGAAGGAGAAGGTGGCTCGGGGTGTGGTCGACACGTCGTTCGACGTTCAACATCATTACAGTTGCGTTTGTTCTAGTGTCAAAAGCTGATTTTGTGAGTTTTAAATCATGAGTTCTAGGCGTAGTGAGACTACTTGTTCTATTATGGGACCTTACAAAGAACTTGACGATCGACAGCTACCAACTATAAGAGATGTTATGAAATATATTTTATTTGTGAAGAACGATCTAAAATTAAAGTATAATGGAAAGGATCCATCCAATTCAGAAATATATGCCATTGTTTCTGAAGAAGTTATTAATATTTGGACAAAAGCTTCGATTCCAATCGTAACTAAGGAACGGATTATTCAGTTACTAAAATATTATTTCGAAAAGTACCTCAGTTTGAAACGACACCCCAAAATCAAACGAAATAACAGTTTTGAAAACAAAGTGAAGTATTTTGTAGAGTCAGCTGAAAATCTTTTCGACGTTGCTGCTTGTAAATGTATTTCTATTCAATCTTGTTCCTGTTTAAAACATAAAAAAGTTCCCATCAATGATAGAGACTTTCTGTTGGATCAAAGAAATGACAGGAAAATGGTTATAGGCGGTGTTGATAAGAAAGAAACTGCCAGGTTCATAAAACGACAGCAGAGAAAAATGGAAGAATCAATGAGGGCAACAAAAAAGTTGTGTGTTACTCAAACGACCGATTCTATATCAGAAAATTGTGATGAAGAAGCAGTGCCTCACTCTTTCTCAACAGAGACACCGTTGACTTCCACGTTTAATAGAAATACGTTGCCGTTGCCAACAGTTGCTAAAGTCAGTGATAGATACGGTTTATCGATGCGATCTGTTGCTGCTGTTGCTTCTGCCGTTTTGGTTGATGTGGGTTTGGTTTCTACCGAAGATCTGACACTGGTTATTGATAAAAACAAAATCCACAGAGCTGTATGTAAAGCCCGAAGAGATGCTTCAAAAGATGTTGCAGGTATTGTTGTAAATAGCATTTACTTTGATGGACGAAAGGACAAGACCCTGATAAATGAGAAAATAGGGAATCGTTACCATCGCAAAGAGATTTTGGAAGAACACATCTCATTGTTATCAGAACCCGGATCAATTTTTTTGGGACATACAACGCCTAGTCGTGGCACTGCAAATGGAATTTTTACTTCGATCACAACTTTTTTTGAGGGTCAAAGTTTGAATTTAGATGCTGTAATTTGCGTTGGATGTGATGGAACTGCAACTAATACTGGCTGGAAGGGTGGCGTGATTCAATATTTAGAGGAGTATTTGGAGAGACCGTTACAATGGTGCGTTTGTTTGCTTCATGCCAATGAGTTACCGTTTCGTCACTTGTTCCTGACCATAGATGGTTCTACTTCGGGTCCTAGAGAATACTCCGGACCTATTGGAAAACAGTTAGTTGCTTATGAAAACAGCCCCACCGTGACTTTTTCTGGTATGAATGGTAATTTGCCTGACTTGCCAAAAAATGTAGTCAATGAATTAAGTACAGATCAAAAATATCTATATGAAATATGTCAAGCAGTATTAACCGGTTTCTGTACTCCTGAATTGGCAAACCGTCAACCTGGAAAAATGGCGCACTCCAGATGGCTTACTACTGCTAATCGTCTACTCAGACTTTATGTAAGTACGCTTAATCCATCAGAAAATTTACAATTGCTTGTAAACTATGTTGTTAAAGTATATGCTCCGATGTGGTTCAGTATTAAGCAAAAATCGTCTTTTAAGGATGGAGCAAAGCATATTTTTCAACTAATTATGTACTCTCGATTTCTACCCGAAAATCTAAGATCTGTTGTGGATACCGTTATCGAAAGAAATGCCTTTTTTGCCCACCCAGAAAACTTACTTGTGAGTATGTTGTTTGATGATAGAGATCACATTAGGGAGCTGGCATGGCGAAGAATAAAAAAAGCTAGAGACACTGAAAGTAACGATAAACGCAGAATATTTAAAACACCAAAAATTAACTTCTCTGCTAAAGATTACACCGATATTATTATGTGGCACGAATGTCAGGTTACAACACCGCCGGTTCTTCGGCATATTTCTACTGAGGACCTTCACATCATGGTAAAAGATAAAAGCTTGGATATTTTTGACTTTCCCTGCCACACACAATCTGTGGAAAGATGTGTTAAACTGATTACAGAAGCCTCGCAGAACGTAACTGATGCTACTTCTAGAGATAGCTTTATCAGAACCAGGTTGCAGTCTCGGGCAGAAATGCCAAATTTTGGACACAAAAATAAGTTCAAATTTTAAGTTTTTGTCATCAAATATAGGATCTATTTTGTTTGTTAAGTTGTTTTGAACCTTTTTCATTAATTTTAATAATAAAATATCTTTTAAATTTAATTTGTGTATTATTTGAAGTATATGATTTAGGTCTGTACAAACGTAAAATTTACAAAACTTTAAAGTCTAGTAGAGCCCTGAAGGTGACGTGCTATCGTATTTATTTTACTTTTTTTATAATCTCTGGAAAATTACGCAAATTTGGATACGTCTTGCGATAGTGTAGCTCAAAAAGAAATTTTTTTATGCAAAGACGGGACACCCTAACGGACATGACTATACACAGTTCATCATCTTATACCACATGACATAAACTGGCAGCCTATCATAGTATGTTATATAGATTAACAGAAATTCCGATGTCAAAATACAACTTTAAGACGGAATTAAATATCATTATTCAAATAGCAGTAAACAATGGCTACAACCAACAAACAGTTAATAAAATTTTAAATAAAAAACTACACAAGAAAGCCTTGAAATTAGTATTTCCACCACCAGAGAAAAAACCCAGTACCTTCTGGCCGATTACATATACAGGCAAAATATCGACAAAAATAGCCAAACACATAAAAAAGAAAGGAATAACACCAGCTTTCAGAACAAACAACAACTTAGGCAAATATATTAAAACA